ATTAAGGGAATTTATGCTGAGCCTTGTGTTGTTCTAGCAATAAGGATTATTCATCCATGAATACAAGAACTAACAGAAAAAAATCCCAGCCCCACCAATCTCGTTAAGAGATGCAGCTCCAATACTATTTTATTTTTATGTTTAATAATTGTGAATTTAAACTCTATTGTTATTTAAATCAGGAATCAATTGTGTACTAAGAATAATTTTAATGATAACTCAAGCTAGATTAAGTTAATTAACACTTAGAGTGTTAGGGTCTTAGGAGGCAAAATTTTAATAAATATATAATTATATTTGTTTGGACAAGTATAAATGGAGGGGGACTCAAGAAAAATCTTCCAAGCATAAAAATTACTTTAGGATTACATTTCATGGAAAAGATGGAGTGGAATTACAAGTCCAAGGAGAAAAAGGAAAGATGTCAAACGTTTACTCTGTTAAAGAGGATATGTATACTTTTGTTTAAATGGATCACAAATATGTACAAATAGCCAATCTTTATGCTGTGCACCTGAGACTAATATAATGCTTTACATCCATTGCACCTCAGTAAAAATTTATTTTGAACTATGTTTCTCATATTTATATACTTAAAAACTGAGAGATCGGCATCTGCAAGCCTTGATAAAAAATTTCATGTTGTCATTTCAAGCATTAAACCTGATACATTTAAAAAAAAAAAAGGATGATGGCAGGTAGCAGATCACACAAGCACTAAGTTTCTCCTCAATGCATTAAAATGAGGTGGCTTTCCATTTTTTTAACGTCAATATTTAAAATACAATAGAAACAACATATTTTGCAAACTTAAAAGTTAAGGAATTTTACACACCAACTTAAAAATATTTGAGGGTAAATACTGTACAATTCCATTTATATGATGTTACAGAACAGGGAAAATTAATCTATCATGAAAAAGAATCAGAACAGTGGTGGCCTCCAGGAGAGATGAAGGCATAGACTATAGAAGGGCTCAAGGGAACTCTCTGGGGTGATAGTAATGTTTTATACTTTAACAGAGCTTGGGGTTAGAAAGGCAAAAGCATTTGTCAAAAATCATCAAATGGTGTACTTAAGATGTGTACATTTCATTGAGGTAAATTTGATCTCAAGAAAAAAAACTGTAGGGATCCCTGGGTGGCACAGTGGTTTGGCGCCTGCCTTTGGCCCAGGGCGCGATCCTGGAGACCCGGGATCGAATCCCACATCGGGCTCCCGGTGCTTGGAGCCTGCTTCTCCCTCTACCTATGTCTCTGCCTATGTCTCTGCCTCTCTCTCTCTCTCTCTGTGACTATCATAAAAAAAAAAAAGAAAAGGAAAAAAAACTGTAAACAAATATATGTACTCTCGTCCAAGTTATGCATGCTGAAAAATTCAGGAGTGAAATGTTTTGGCGTCAAAAATTTATATGGAAATGTATAAAAAATAAGATAGATTGACAAATGGACAGATGTAGAGATAAGTAACATAACTAAAGCAAAACACTTAAAGTAGAACCTGGGTGGCATATATATGTTGTTCACTGCTCAATTATTTCAGCTTTTCTGTATGTTTGAAAATATTCACAATAAAATATTGGGGAAAGTGTACAACAGGAATATATTTTATCATAATTCTTTAAAGGATGTGTGGGCAAAAGTTTGGAGACCATTGGTTTCTATTATCACCATTTGCTAATGAATCTCTAACCCATACTTACAGCCCAAACCTCTCTCCAGAATCCCAATCATCTTTCCATCTGTCTCCTGGACGGCTCCATCTGGATTTCCCATCAGATCTAAAACTGAACAGATCCAAATAAGAATTTATTGTCTTCCTGTGTCAGTTAGAAATATCATCAGCTACAAGTAACAGGATAGAACAAACAAAACAAGGGTGATTTTTCTTACATAACAAGAGATCTGGAGGTAGGTAGCTGCTAGTGTCAGTTCAATAGCTCCAACAATCTCCTGGCTGGCAGGTCTGCCATTCCCTTGGCCTTCCTTCCTAGTCACAAAGTTTTCTACAGCTCTAGGCATCATGTCTGAGTTTAAGATAGGAAAGAAAGGGAAGGAAGGAATGCCAGTGACAACAGAACTTTTATCAACACAGCTTCATATTTTTCCAGAAGCCCCCTAGCAGACTTCCACATAAATCCCATCCATCAGAACTGTTGTCCTAGCACAGGAAACCAGGAAACACCATACTTGACTTCCCTATCCTCTAACTTGGCTGTAGGATTGGGTGATGGGTTAGCCCGCCTGCAGTATCTGTAACATTCTCCCCCAAACCCAGTCTACCTCCTATACTGCCTCTCTGTGTGAACAGTTCAGGACCTGACTAGTTCCTCAAGGAGCCCAGGAATTACCCTTCCCTCTCTTTCTCCTCTACTCCTCATATCCACTGCCTTGATCTTTTCTCAGTCTTTGAATCTCTCTCAAATCTGAGCCTCCTTCCTATACCCACTACCACTGTCTTGGTTCAGGATCTCATTTCTTCCCTGAATGGCTCTTAGCCTCTTAGTCTCAAGTCTTCACTGCAAACCATCCTCTGTGTGGCCCCAGCTTGACCATTCTAAAAATAGACATCTACCCATCTTATCCCCTGCCTAGATCTTATGTGTGGCTTTGCATAATACCTAGTTTAAAGCCTTACTTCCTCAGTATGTCATGTAATGTAGTTCCCCACTTTTGTATAATATCCTCTTCAAAATGTGTCATCAGTTAGGAGCACCTGGGTGGCTCAGCCAGTTAAGCATCTGCCTTGGGCTCAGGTCATGATCCCTGGGTCCTGGGATCGAGCCCTGTATCACACTCTCTGTTCAGTGGGGAGTCTGTTTCTCTCCTCCCTCTGCCCCTCCCCTCTCCCCTGCTTGTACTCTCTCTCTCTCTCTCTTTCTCAAATAAATAAACAAACAAACAAACCATTAAGAAAAAGAAAGAAAATGTGTCATCAGTTAGAGTACTTCAACCCTGTCAAGGATCAACTCCCCTAGAACACAACTTTATGGAGAGAGGATCTGGGCAAGTCAATACTCAAAATCTAAACCTGTTGTGCTAGGCAGGCAACCAAGTCTCTAATATATTTGTGCTAAAATTGTGGTAAGCAATAACAATAGACTTATATGTTATAATAGGGGTTCTGTTCCCAGGGACTATAGACTATATCATCTCTAAATGCATTTTTTCTGGGAAACATAAAATTCAACAATATATTTAAAGTATAATATCATTGTTGTTCATTCGATTCAGAGATTTATTGAATACCCACAATGTACTAGATACTACTCTTTAGTTCTTTTCCTTTATAACAGAGCAGAGATGACAGATCTAGAACAGTGTTCGATTGAAGCTATCTGCCTCTTTCTGCATACCTAATGATTTCCATCTTTTTCTCTATTGCGCTATTTAAAATTTATCACCAGAATCAGCACTTTCATTTTTCTGTCTTCTACTCATTTTCATAAATAAAATTCATTAGATATTCAAAGAAATGTCCAAAGACACAGATGGAGGCAAAGATGGCAATATGGTAGAAACTGGGTGATTGATAGAGTGCAATGTGATAATAGCTAAGCTTTATGGAGTACTTACTCTGTGCCAGGCACAGTTCTAGGCACTCTACAAATAGTAATTCCTTAATCTTTACAATGTGATGCAGTAGGTTCTAAGAGTTTCATGTTGCAGATAAGGACACTGAGGCCCATGAGTAGTTTTGCATCTTTGTCCAAACAACAGCCCTCAGTCTCATCTGTCTGCTGCACTTGAGCTAAGTACATTTCTCTTAGTTCTGGGGGGGGGGGGGTGTCTTCGGTGTCTCCGGCCCTGTGCTTTTTGCACATTATGTCCCATCTGCCTGGACTGCTCATTCTGTGCTCACGCTCATTCTTGGAGACCAGATGAGGCCCACTGTGCTCAGTAAAGTCTTCCCTGTCCAATAAGGTGGGGCCAGGCTGTGCTGACCAGCACCTTACCCAACCTCCTCATCCTGTTATATTTATGCGCTTAGAGCTCTGTCTCCACCACCGGAGATGATGCTACCAGGCCTGGCTGTCCCCTCGTTGTTGAGTCCCTGGGGCTTGCTACTATGGTTGGCCTATAATTGGCACTTACAATTTTGCTGAATTAATGCACAGAATCCCTGGATTTTACACCTTCTTGTCGCCCCCACGCCGTCTGGCACCACATATTGCAGACACTTAGTCAATGGGAGCGGGAGCCTGGTTTTCCAGCCAGCAGCCTAACTTAATAAAACAGAGCAAAACAAAACCCGCCCCCTTTCTCTCATCTCCACACCACAATTAATCCCAGAGGGTTTGAATTCTTTTCCAAGCCCTTCCATCAGCCGAATCCAGGGGGGCCCCGAGGGGTCGGACTGACTCCCCATCCCCCGGCCCCGCCGGCTAGCGGAGCAGGGTGGGGAGCAGCCGCCAGCGCACCGGGCAGCCGCATCCCGCGCCCTGCGCCAGTTCTGCCCTATTAAGGTAAGAGTTGGAGGGCGCGGGGGGGACGGAAGGAGGGTCCCCAGAAGGGGCCCCGCGCCGGGGCGCTCGCCGGGTGCTCCGCGACGGTACTGCCGGCGTCAGGGCGGCCCCGGTCCCACTCTGCTCTTCGACCCGGGGCCACCTTCCTAGGTTTCCATAGCCACCGGGGCCGCGTCCGCGTTCTCTCCCGCCACCGCAGGCCTCAAAGGAGTCTCTGTGCCGGGCGCTGATTAAATGGGTCTCGGCTCCCCAGCGGACCGCCCTTCCCAGCAGCTGCCCGCAGAAGCCCCGAGGGCGCTGCGCCCGCCGGGCCCCGCATCAGGGGGACCGACCCGCGCGTTTCGGGGACCCGGCCCGGGACGCGTCCTTCCGGCCTCCGGACCTCCGCCCCCTCTGCGCCCCCACCCCCGCCAGCCTCTCGGGGTCCCCGGGGGCCCGCCCCGCCCCGCCCCGGAGGCCCCGCCCCGCCGGCCCCGCCCCGCCCCGGAGGCCCCGCCCCGGGCCCTCGCGCTCCGCCCCCGCCCCGCCGGCTCCCGCCGCTCCCGGCGCTCCGAGCGCGGGCCTGGGGACTCGGGATCCCGCCGCCGGGGCCGCAGCATGGGGCGCTTCCGCGGGGGCCTGCGGTGCATCAAGTACCTGCTGCTCGGCTTCAACCTGCTCTTCTGGGTGAGACCCGGAGCGGGCAGGCCGGGCAGGGGAGGGGCCGGGCGGGGGCGCGGGGGCGCGGGGCGCGGGGGCGCGGGCCGGGGTCCCCGGGGAGCTGGCCGCCGCGGCGTCCGAGCCGGGCTCCAGAAGGCTGGGTGTTCAGAAGGGCGGAGGTGAGGAAGAGGCTTTGTCTAAAGAGGGAGGAGAGGGATGGGGGGGAGCGCAGAGGGAGGGAGAGGTGGAGCAACAAGAGCCGGTGAGAAGGGGGGACACCTTGAGGCTCTTCCCTTTGAGGAGCCTCTGCCTCAGCTGGTGACTCCAGGTGCGGGGACACCAGCCCCTCCTCCCTCACCTCCTGAGGAGTGGCTCGCCCTCGCTCCCCCCGGGGCACTCACCCCCTGTCGCCCTGCCTCCGCTGCAGCCGGGGCCTGGCCTGGGCTCTGGGAGAGAAACCCCTGTGCCCCTGCGGGGCTGCCAGCGGTGGTGCCCCAAACGGCGTGTGTGGGGACACCACCTGGCGGTGAGGGTTTTGTTTAAGGAAATTGGGGGTAGGAGTGAAAATGGTGGGGGGGGGGGGGCAGGTGTCGTCCTTATTCTGAGGGTCAGAGGAAGGTACCGCGGGCTGGGAGGAGGCGGTGGTGCTCTTCTTTCTGTCAAGGGGATGGTGAGAAGATAGGGGTTTCCAAAGGGCAGCAGCATCTCCCCACAGCCCCTAGCTCGCAGCCTCTGCTAAATACCACAGATGATCTCATTCAACTTTGCATTGAACAAACATTCCCCGGATTAGTGGTTCACAGAGAGATAGGGCCATGCCCCTTGTCTCCTATGTTATTGGGACAAGGTTAGGGCCAGACCATCCCTAGATCCCTGGATACCCTGTCTCAGGCCCTGGAGGACTGTAAGACAAGGTCTAAAAATTGTCTTGTCTGCACATTCCTCCTGGGTTTTCTCAGGAAACTGTCAGTCAGACCCTGGGGGAAAATATAAATCTTATTTTGGGGAAACAGGTTCCTAAGGCTAGTGGGGAGCAGCAATGGCCTGGATGCTTTGAAACAGCTAGGAGAGAGGAGGATGGTGACTGTCTGTCTGCTCCAGGGAGTTTGTCTTCCCATGACTGCAACTAATTAATTATTGAATGATGGGCTCTGCCTGTGTCTGCCAACCCATTAGCCCAGATGCCTGGGTGACTCCAGGAACTCTAACGTCTCAGAAGACAACTTGCCATGCTCAGCATCCTTCAGCAGGGGAAGGTATGAGGAGGCATCCCAAAGACAGCCCCTGAATTTTAAAAACACACATGATTTTTGTACATAGGGCATTTACATTCAGCATACTACAGGGAGGGACATTTCTAAAGGTCCTTTATGTTGTGCTGCTTTTTAATAGTCTGGCTTAATTTTAAAAGCTGTTAATTCTAGATGTCATGCTTCGGTGACACCCTTCGCTCTCACTGCTTACAAATTCAAAACAAGTTTTCAATCAGTCTAAGAAGGAATTCTCAGGCTGGGCTCAGTGCTTATTTAGTGACTGATGCTGTGCCAGCCTTTCCAGGGATCATAGGGAGCATTTATTGAATGTTTTCAATGTGTCAGGGACAGTGCTAAGCACATTGCATTCGTTGACACTTAATCCTCACAACAGTGCCCATGTGTATAATATTTTATCCCCATTTTTATAGATGAGGAAACAGAGGCTCACGTAGGCTGACTTGCCCAAGGTCACATAGCTAGTGTGTGGCAGAAGTGGGACTCAGAGTCAGCCTCTGTGGTCCCAAGCACTGTGGTAGATTACACTCCTAAGTGGTGGTTCTCAGAGGATGGCTCCTGGACAAGAGCATCAGCATCTCCTGGGAGTTTGTCAGAAATGCACATTCTCAGCTCCATGCTAAGCCTGCTGAAGCAGGAACTCTGTGTTAGCAAGCCCTGTAGGTAATTCTGATGCTTGCTCAAGTTTGAGAACCACTGTTAAGCAGTTATTAAATAAGTATTAGATAATTTATAATATATAAATATATGTAACTTGTAACTGTAAAATGCTGTTCTGTTAGCTGCTAATGTTGTTAAGAAAACAAGTCCAATGCATACAGAACAAGTTAATAAGTACATAATCAAGTGACAAATGTCACACTTTGGCCATAAGCACAGTAAAGAAGGGAAACAGAGGGAACAAAGCGATGTTTGACTGTCTGCCATGTGTTAGCTGCTGGGGTTAGACATGACCTTATATATATGATCTAATTAAGGAGTGCAGAGAAAGTTGGAGGGCCTGGGTGGCTCAGTTGGTTAAGCGTTCAACTCTTGATTTTGGCTCAGGTCATGACCTTAGAGTTCTAAGATTGAGCCCCACTTGGGCTCAGCATTCAGTGAGGAGTCTGCTTGAGATTCCCTCTCCCTCCCCCTCTCCCTTGTGCACACACTTTCTCTTTCTCTCTCTGGAATAAATAAATCTAAGAAAAGGAGTTCAGAGAAAGGATCATAGCAAGAGTGAGGAGCCAGGAAAGTTGGTCCTGAAGAATAGGGTGTTTAAGCTGGACTTCCCAAGACTGGTAGAATGAAGGTGGGCAAGGCAAGGGGGCTGACACACCACCCACCGGCAGAGGAGCAGCACAAGGCTGGGTGGGATTACCGTATGACACAGGGGTTGGGTTTGAGTGCAGAGATCAAGTTATTGATCATACAACCAGGGTGTGCTCGAGTAAGTTATTCTTACTTCTAGGTGTCTGTTTGCTCATCTGTACGAGTGGGGTAACAGGGTTGTGAGGAGGATTAAAGTGAAATGTATAAAGTGCCTGACCTCATCTTCCTGTGAATCTAGTACATAGTAAGGGCTCAGAAAACGTTATTGGTGCCTGCACATAGGAGCATTCAGTAAAAGTTAGCTGTCTTTCCCAGGTCCCTTTATTTGGGGGAATAGCATATATATTTGCCAACTGACCTGCAGCTTATCTTTGTTTTAGGATGACACATTATCCTCTCAGTTTGTACTGTGAATTTTCCCCACTAGAACTTGGAATGCTCTGAGAGCAGGCTTGTTTTTTTTTTTTTTTCTGTATGTTCACAGTTATATCTCCAGTGCCTAGAACAGAGCCGGGCACACAGGAGGCATTCAGTAAATATCTGTGGAGTGAATGAATCTGCAGGTTAGAGCACTTGGTACAAATGACCTTCCCAATTTGCCCCAATGATCAATGATGATCAATGATCTAGAGGACTGATCCTATCTCTTCTTGCACATTACCTGTTGATTTGTTCTTTGTTTGCCCAGACTGAGCCCAGGAGGAAGGTATGGGGCCTTCCCCTCTCTCACCTCCATGGGAGAGTAGATGGGCAGCACCACAGGAAAGGGCTAATGGAAACTGACACATAATGATTTAGGGGAAAGTGATTATTTGGGATAAGTTATTTAGATATCCACCTTCTCTGTAACTGAGGGAACCTGATTCCAGAAAGGCCTCACCTAGTTTCTGAAGTTGTTTTTCCTGGTTGGAGGGGTTCATGAGAAGTTTGGGGAAGGGGCAAAGGATGGGGGCTGCAGATGAGGCTGCAGCTGTGACTTCAAGTGTCATATTCACTCACACCTTCACATGCTCGGGTGCCTGCCCTTCTGAGATATAAGGTCCCCCTCAGTGACCAGTGACCACACTCTCTTCCCTATCAGAAACTCACCAGAAAGCAGGCGAGGAGGTGGGGGCGGGTGTGTTCTGTGATCTGCAATTTGTGCCCTTCGGTGACCACACTGTCTTTCCTATCAGGAACTCACCAGAAGGCAGGCAAGGAGGTGGGGGCAAGTGTGTTCTGTGATCTCCAATTTGACAAATCCATTTGCAGCCTCCTCTGGCAGCTTGGTTTCAGTAAGTTTCCCTAGGCTACTCTGATTTTATAAACATTCAGCTAGATCCTGCCAGAGCCAGCACACTGCCTGGCTGACTGTATTCATCACTACATTTTTAAAAACAAAAGCAAAGCCTAGCCCTGAACCCCACTAAATTCACTTCTGTTATCATGGTTGATGTCTGCCATGGAACCCCTCCCAACATCTGTCATGTCTAAATTCGGACACTGCAATCAGCACAGCATATGCCCATGCCTCTCACTGAAATCACCTTTATTTTTTTTTTCTTCTGTTGCATAGCAATATAAATAAAACACCACAGTACACCAAGCCACATATGTTGGTTTAAAGAAAAACCTAGGCACTGTTTATTCCTTGCCTTATTGTACGCTCAGCGTTTTCCTATCATTGTGCTATACTGAGCAACTCAGTGATAGCAACCGACAGGAAGCAGGGCCGTTCATTGTTGAAAGTCACATGCCATATATGGCTTGTCTGAAGTTTCTCTACTTTCCTTCTCACCAGTTTTCATGCAGCTTTGGAGGTTCAGTCAGTGATGCCTAGCAGGTACTGTTGGGAAAGACTGTGTCCCTTGAGCTTGGGAGTGAAAGATGTTTGGCACTGCTGCGGATTAGCCAGGTGGCCTCCTCCTCTTTGTCAAACTTCTTTCAAACAGTAATTTTAGAGCTACCACCTGTCTGGAACACTGTTTTGTGTTTTTTTGTTTTTAAAAAACTTTCTTTGGGATCCACCCAAAAGCTAGACCACCCCAGAAGGCAGATAAGAATTTTCTTGGTCTTCTTGGAGGATAGTCTTTGTTTCTGATTTCTGTCAAGGTGAGAAGACAGCGGTAGAGGCTGGCCTCCTCTAAATGGATGAGAGGGGCCTGGCATTGCCGGAAGGGGCCACGAGTCTGTGACAGGGGCCATTGTGCAAGGTTAGAGATAGAATGCCAGCAGTCCAGCAGACAGGTCTAGACAGGATGGCCATCCAAATCCAGGAACTTGAAGCCAGGAAGGTGGATACTGGAATTGCACTGCCTGGATTGATTCTTGTCTGTGTTATTTACTAACTAGGGGACCTCGGACAAGTTGTTTAACCTATTCGAGCCTCAGATTTCTCATCTGTAAAATGGACATAATTAAGTACCAATGTCATCTGTGATTTTTGTGTGGATAAAATGAGTTAAT